GTCCGTAGTGTTAATTAAAATTGTAAAAAAATAAATTTTTTAATGAAGATGCTAACTTGCCATCTGCCTCCTATATATGCAGGTTTTTCTTTTCTTTCTCCTCCTCCTCCTCTTCCTTTTTCTTCTTCCTCTTCCTTCTTCCTAGCTCTATCTGGTTTGTTATAATAGCAATGGAAGGAATATTTCTCATGCAATGCTCTGAGCTCAGATCCATTTGTGTGGAAAGGTCCATAAATCTGTGTGCAACCTTAAGGTAGGTTTCTTATAAGCATTCACTGAAGTAAATTCATCAGAGCCTTCCCCTGGTCACACAGAGAAAGCCTCTATGAAACCCAATGAGGAATGTAAATTTGGTAGTGGAAGCTGAAAACATTATGCATTTTGTAAAACCCATCTCAAATTCTTTTGGGAAAGATAAAGAACTAAAATACTGGGAAATACTACAATTTTCTCCAACAAGAAATAAGATAATTTAAGTTGGAAAGAATGGACTTCTAATAAATGGTACAGTATTTGATGTTTTAAAAAAAAATCAAATAAAAGGCCACAAATTGAATAAAATAGTTTTTTGTTAATGGTGAAACTTGCAGGGCCAGTTAGAGCTCATTAAAAGGTGATGGGAACTATGCAGATTAGATCAAGTTTGGTAATTGGCTGGTTCTGAATCCATTAGAAAGGTTATAGGGCTGTTTGGGTGGGTTATGTTTTATAAATGGATGATTAGAAGTATATTAATGGGCCAAAGGGTTATAAGGATGGGATTGATTTAGTAATATAATGTCTAGGATAACATTAGACTGGGGGCAAGGTTATAAGGATAGAATTAGATTTGGGAAACAGGTCAGTTATGATCATATTAGACAGGTTATGGGGTTGTTTGAAAAAGTGTCCTTTGTTTAATGGCAGTGAGAAAACAAGTATCTAATTAGACTTCCTGTGCATCTTTAGCACTTCTAATACCCTGGTGCCTTTATACAAAGAAATTACCCTCCAAAATTTATGTAGGATCTTGACAAACATCTTACTAAGGGTTCAGGTATCAAGCCAAGCCATTAATTCCTAGCAGAGTGTGGTTTTCACTGGGGTGTTACCAAAATATAAAAAATGCATACTGGGAAAAGAGACAACATGAGATTATGTCAATATTTCTCAAAAGCAGGTTCAAGAGGAGATAACATTTGATCAGAGTCACAGGAAGCTGAACAAATACTTGTCACAGAGATGGTAATAGGAGACTGAAAGGCAGAGTCTAGGAAGAGTGTGTTCTATGAAAACATGTGGGCATGATAAACAGACCAAAGCCTTCGAGGAGCTCAAACAGCCTGTGTGCATCTGTGTTGGAGAGAGTGGAATAAAAGAAGGAGGGCTGTACACATGTGTGTATTTGTGTTTGCAGTAAATGATAAGAAAAGATAAGATGGCAGAGACTAGAGTTTGAGGGAAGAGAGTATAATTTATAAACTTTGTTAATTATAAATATGAACTTCATCATTTCCACCAGTCTACCCCCAAATGTATTCCACAGCAAACAAATATCATAAATACACAAGAAAACAATAAAAATGAGGATTCTGTGGTCAAATATGTTTGTTAATGCTGTTTTAAATTCTTAGCATCTGCCACTTCTAACATGTTTAATTCACACTAGAAACTTCAAGGTTGTGGCTGGGCATAATGACTCATGCCTTTAATCCCAGCAATTTGGGAGGCCAAGGCAGGCAGATCACTTGAGGCCAGGAGTTTGAGACTAGCCTGGCCAACATGGTGAAATCTGTTCTCTACTAAACATACGAAAATTAGCCAGGTATGGTGACTCGCACCTGTAGTCTCAGCTACTCCAGAGGCTGAGGAGAGAGAATGGCCTGAACCCGGGAAGCGGATCATGCCACTGTACTCCAGCCTGGGTGACAGATTGAAACTCTGTCTCAAAAACAAACAAACAGTAAACTTAAAGGTTGTGAGGAGTTCTGCAGTTACAAAAATATGATTCCTTGCCTTCCCTGACCCACCACGTTTTAAGATTTTGGGATTATAGATACCTTTGTACCTATTCTAACCTCCAACAGAACGGTTATTAATATTCCTTTGCAAAAATATTCTAAGGAATATACTTTTGGAAAGCATTATTCTAAGAAAAGGGAAGCTGTTCAAAGAAAGGCTAAGAATACTTAATTTTATCATTTTAAAAAGAAGATAGAATGATACAGAAAGTTAAACTATTGCAAAGAAAATGGGAAAAATATTGATATTGTAGTAGAATATTTAATTTGAATTATCTATTCCTAAATGGGTATATGAGCTTTAGAAAAGTTGATCTTTATGTGTCTCAGTTTTCTTAAGTATATGGTTGGAATAACAAAGGAATTTAAGAGCACTAGATAAGATAATGCTTGTAATGATGAACAGTGCCTGGTAAGTAGTGAGAACTTGATTAATATTAAAAGCTGCAAAAATTCTAACCTTCCCCACAGTCTCAGGTATTCTGGCATGCTCAGTTTTACCTCCTGTTCCTAGGTTTAACTGTAGGAATTCCTCCTCACTTTACGTCCAGGGCTTCCTTTTAATCTACTGTCATATTTGGAAGCATTATAGGGAGATATTTTTTACCAGCTAGACCAAGCTGGTTATCAGTTATCCTCTTTGCCATTGGATAATAGTAAGTATACTTGATATAAATTGAATGAGATGCTCCTATGATTAGTCTAAATATCTAACTGGTACAAGAAGCAGGATTTTGAGTTGTAAGCACTCTAAATCATGTAAGAAAGGAGCCACCAGCTAACAAGGTCATTGTGCCAATACGGATACTGATCTTAAATCTTGGGCTTCTAGGAAATCTTTGCCCAGCCTCCAAGCTCATTTTTTCCTGGACAGTCATTCCACTTGGAATCTATTGTCTGAGTTCTGAACATTTGCCTGATATTCAGACTTCCTAAATATCCCTCCCTGTCTTCACCAAGCTTCTTGGCCAAGAGATTTTATAAATTCAAAAATGTTATGTATATTTTTTCTTTTTATTTCTCAATATTACCTTTAGCAAGTAATCAAAAAGAGCCTGGACATAACCCAAGTTAAAATAATGAATAATAGCTGAAATGTCTTTCCCCTTCTTTCAGGGACAGGAGGAGTTACTCTTAAGAAGAAATAAGAAACAAAACCAAAAGCAGTCTGATCTCTGCTTCTTCGGGGGAGTGACGGGGTTCTGAACTCTGTTCTAAGTCAGTTTTCTGCCCATTTCTATTTCTCCATGATTTCTACTCTAGGGCAATAAGGAAACAGTTAAGTTTCTATATCAGGATAAAAATTTGAATCTCAACTCACTATTATTACGCTGAGCGCATTAATATGGAAGCAAAATTGGTTTACTCTCAGATCGTAAATGTGGACTTTAAATGTTCTTACCACAAAAAAGAAAGAAAGAAAGAGAGAGAGAGAGAGGAGGACAAAAGAAAGAAAGGAAGAAAGGAAGGAAGGAAGGAAGGAAGGAAGGAAGGAAGGAAGGAAGGAAGGAAGGAAGGAAGGAAAAAAGGAAGGAAGGAAGGAAGGAAAAAGAAAGAAAGAAAGAAAGAAAGAAAGAAAGAAAGAAAGAAAGAAAGAAAGAAAGAAAGAAAGAAAGAAAGAAAGAAAGAAAGAAAGAAAAAGAAAATATGGATTACTCCACCTTTCTTTCCTTCTTACCTTTCTTTTTCTTTTCTTCTTTCACATCTGTCTTGCATTTTCCTCTTTTTCTCCATGGAAGCCCCATTGATGTCAGTCACTTTTCTCTCTGGTACCCTCAACAATATTTTACACACATTTCCCTTTTCCTTAGGTTGTATTTGAAGTTTCATTTGGTACAGAAAAAAAACTCACATTTAACAAGCTAAAATAGCCAAGTAAAATTTACTGCAACCTTTGTAGAAATTAATTTGTGCTACAAGACATGTTATTTATTTTCTTTTCTTTTTCTTTCCTTTTTTTTTTTTTTTTTTTTTTGAAACGAAGTCTCGCACTGTTTCCCAGCTGGTGTGCAGTGATGCAATCTCGGCTCATTGCAAGCTCCACCCCTCAGGTTCAAGGGATTCTCCTGCTTCAGCCTCCTGAGTAGCTAGGATTACAGGCGTCCGCCACCAAGCCCGACTAATTTTCTGTATTTTTAATAGAGATGGGATTTCACTATACTGGCCAGGTTGTTCTTGAACTCCTGACCTCATGATCTGGCCGTCTTGGCCTCCCAAAGTGCAGGGATTACAGGCGTGAACCACCACACCCAGCCAAGACATGTTATGTTTTTTTCTTACTGAAGATTTAATGATTAAATGTGTGTCCCTCTAAACTTCAAACTACTTCAAGAGGACAACGTTGCCTTATTCTTCTTTCTGTCTGCCCCTTTTCTGGTCCATGGTTCAGTGGTGAATAATCATTTAACAAATGATTGCTGGATGAAAATGAATGAAAGTATTTCTTCAAATCTCAGCTATGAGTATCACCCCATCCACCATTTTACCAAGAGGGCTGAAGCAGTTCGTCTTTATTGCCCATTCCAATTAAGACACTATATGGTCTGTGATTTAAAACAAACAGGCAAAAACACCATAAATAACCTTCAGATGAACTCATTCAATAACCTGGCTTTATTTCCTTGTGAATGTGAATCTAACAGATTTTTTTTTCTTTTTAATGTTTAAAAACAAAACCTGATTTGTATGCTGAGTTTGGTGCTGTGGTGAGTTCCTTTCATTGTGTTAGAAACCTGTGAAAACAAGGGGTTTAGATGAGGACAACTAACAGATCCTTCACTATGAAATCTCAAATTGGCACCATCGTAATAACCAGGTGTATCTATAAATCAGAAACAGCTTTCCCAGCAAGACTGCTTTACCTCACCTCCCACTGCGTTACTGCTCCTTTCCAGGGCCGTCAACTTCCACTCCTATTGCTAACTAACTCACCACTCAAAGCAGGTGGATGGTTAAAGGAAAGAGCCCTCAATGTTTCCTTCCTGTGTTCATTCTCCCTCAGGTCCCTGGACTTTGGGACTCATTCTACTCGACTTGATCCCCACTCTCCACGCTGATCACATACACATGTTCACACCTGGCAGAAGAGGAAGAGGAGGCATGAAGGAATGGCCTCTTCAGAATAGAGAAAAGGTAGGAATCATCTGGGATGTTTACCAGAGAGAACCCCTTAGGCTGACTCAGGAGTTGGACTGAATGTGAAAGAGACCAAGTAGGTAAGCCAATAAATATACTACAAAGCTTCCCAAGAAAACATCACCATGGCATTCTCAACACAGACTATCTTCCCATTAGAGGATATTTTCCACTGGGAAATATATAAATCCACCCAACTATCCATGTATACAAGAAGGTGACTTCATCAGCCATCCACTTTCCTCCATGTTCAAAACCATGTCTCTAGATTAAATCACCATGGTCTCTCGGTTTAATTGCTTTAACAGCCTCCTTCTCCAGAACGCAGCCACCACAATTGGTTTATAGAAATAGAATTCCATTTTGTATTCCCACTTAACATCCCTGTTGGTTAAACTCTTTTTCCCATTAATTTTAAGATAAAATTCTAAGGCACAATAGCTTATGGTACCCTGCATGACCTTGCCCCTGTTTAACTTTCTAGCCCCCTTCTGTTCTACTTTGCACTAGTTTTCAACATAAAACAAACTTTGTCGAGTTTCAGGCCCTCCATACAGGTTACTCTTTCTGCCTGAAACCTTCTTCCTCCCACCTTTACATGACATCTGGCTTATTCTATCGACTAAAGCCTAAATTTCACTTTTTTTTTGTCAGCAACATTTCATTCTATTGACAACCCGTACCCACCAATATAAATCAGTCTCCCAGTTATACACTGACATTTCAGCTTTTACCTTTCTCTATAACATTGATCACAATTTGTACTTATATGTATATCTGCAGATATATACATATTTCTCTCTTTCACTAGACCAGTGAATCAGCCAGAGTTGAATTTTCCCTCCGGGGAGATTTGCCAATGTCTGAGGTTGTTTTGCTGTTAAAATTGTATGCCAGGGAAGGGAATATTACTGGCATCTAGTTGGTAGAGGCCAGGGATGCTTATAAACATCCTATAATGCACAAGACACTTTCTCACAATACAGCATTACCCAAACCAAAATGGCAACAGTGTCAATATTTGAGAAACCATGGCCTAGACTATAAGCACTGTGATCTAGGTGGAAGCCATGCCTTCTTTAAACATTCCCGTTTCCCCAGGGCCTAGACTTTACTTGACATATATTGTGCTTAATAGATGTTGATTGGCTGAACACATATTCCTTATTACAAACACAGGCTAATCATTTACTGATTTATCATTTACTGAGCGTCAATGGCATATCAGGCCATGTATTTGCCATTGATACTATAATGAGACAAGACTCCATATTATCAGGAGCCTTAGAATATGGAAGAGGAATGAAAAAGTGAGCAATCAATTGAAATTGGGAAAGTTGTAATGCACTGCACAGTATAAAAAATTAGTTTACTTACTGAAGTGGCACAAAGGATGTTTAAAAGAAAAAGTAACATGGATCCTTCATTCACTTAACAAATATTCATTGAAGGCAAATGTTGGAATGTATCAATGAAGAAGACAAGTAAGACCCCTGTCCTAATGAAATTTATATTCTAAAGGAAAAGACATACAGTAAAAGGAACACTGTAAATCAACAAGATCACTACAGGTGAACTATGTGCTCTGAAAACAATAGATAAGATGATGAGTTAACGTATAGCCGAAAGAGTCCCCTTTAAATGGAATAATTAGAGAAATTACCTTTGAGGACATGGTATTTTGCATAAGGTTTGAATACTACAAATTGGGCAGATGTACAAAAAGATATATAAACTCACTTTCCAAACAAATTAAACAAAATATGTAACCTATGTAAAAAAGACCTTTGAATAATGCAGGAAGATGAAGGAGGTTGATGAATCTAGAATTCTATGAGATTCAGGGAAAAATGGCATCAAATGAAGTCAGAGACAGATTTTTTTAAAAATCTATGATAATTACCTAGGTCATAGCAAAATGCATGAGTTTTTATTCTAAAAATAATGAAAATCCACATGGACTTTTTAAAATTAAAATTTGTGTTTTAAATGGTCACTCTGGCTGTCTCACGAACAAAAGTGAAAAGAATGAAAGCAGATAAAACTACTAGTGAGGCATTGCCATGGTCCATATGACAGGTGAAGATGACTTTCTTTCTTGTTTTTTTTTTGTTTTTTGTTTTTTTTTTTTTTTTGAGTTGGAGTCTTGCTTTGTCACCCAGGCTGGAGTGCAGTGGCATGATCTCGGCTCACTGAAACCTCCAATTCCTGGGTTCAAGCAATTCTTCTGCCTCAGCTTCTTTAGTAGCTGGGACTACAGGCATGCGCCACCTTGCCCGGCTAATTTTTTTTTTTTTTGTATTTTTAGTAGAGACGGAGTTTCACCATGTTGGCCAGGTTGGTCTCAAACTCTTGACCTTGTGATCCAACCGCCTCGGCCTCCCAAGTGCTGGGATTGCAGGCGTGAGCCACTGCACCTGGCCAGGTGAGGATGACTTTCATATGGTGGTAGAAGTGGAGAATGCAAGAAGTAAATGAATGTGATATGGTTTTCTAAGTTATCATAGACAAAAATTGGTGAAAAGATAAATGCAAGAGAAAAAATTTAAAAATCAAAACAATACCTAACTGTGGAGAGTATTATTTCAAGAGATGATTGGATTAGAAATGATGCTTGTATGTTTTGTTGGTGATGGTCACATACTGCAGTTCGACATAGTATAATTGCAACATTAAACATGAAAATAGCCATAGTGGCAATGCTTACACAGTACTATATGTCAAACATTCTCTGCATTTTACAGACGTTGGCTGTCTTAATCTTCAAAACAGCTTCATATGTGAGATATGACTAGTCTCTCCATTTGAAAAAAGAGGAAACCAAAGTAAAGAGAGTTAAAGTAACAAAGCTTAGAGCAAATAGCAAGTATCATGGAAGTGGAAATACGAATGAGGAAGTTATGTAGAGGAATCTGTAATTCAGACTGCAGCTCCAGGCTGCAAATCTTAAGTTGCAATATTTAAGGAATGGTTGAGATTTGATGTCCATGTAGAAAGATAGTATTACCAACAACAACAAAAAGAGCCTTTAAGGTTTGGTAATATGATTGGCTAAACAATGTAAAGAAAGATGGAAACAGGCTGGGTATGGTGGCTCATGCCTGTAATCCCAGCACTTCGGGAGGCCAAAGTGGGCGGATCACGAGGTCAGGAGATAGAGACCATCCTGGTTAACATGGTGAAACCCCGACTGTACTAAAAGTAAAAATTAAAAAAAAAAAATTAACCATACACGGTGGCATGCGCCTGTAGTTCCAGCTACTTGCAAGGCTGAGGCAAGAGAATTGCTTGAAGCCAAGAGGCAAAGGTTGCAGTGAGCCGAGATTGTGCCACTGCACTCCAGCCTAGATGACAGAGTGAGACTGTCTCAAAAAAAAAAAAAAGAAGAAAGAAAAAAATATAACCTTTAAGCTTTGGTAATTCTATTGGTCAAACAATGTAAAGAAAGATGGAAACAAATGAGTAAGCAAGTCTGTCTTTTGTGGTAAATTTATATTCTGTTATGTTGGAACATTTGGAAAATATAGGAAGTCTTCAGATTTTCTGGGCTTTGAATGCCAGGCTAAGTAATTTTATTTTCTGTATGTATTCTGAAGTCTTAGAGAGCCTGTGAGAAAAAAAGTGGCAGTGCAGAGTGGTACTTACAGATGACACATCAGGCAGTAGTAGGTGGAACAGTTAAGAGTGCTAGTGAATAGAAGTTTTGAAATCATTTAAAAGGTAAGCACAATACCAAATTTCCTGCCGGGGACAAGGAATAAAAGAGCAGAGTAAACAATACATGATGTTAGCAAAAGGAGCATCGCAAGGGGCTGATGCATTCACTTTAGGAGAGCAGTCCAATATCCTTGGGGATTCTGTCTCTCAAAATGCTATTTCTCCTTCATGCCTCCAATGTGTCCCTTCTATTTCACTTTCCTTGAGGATAGGTAATTTAAGAGCTGTTGGGATTTTTGTCAAAGAAAACATTTTCAGTGTTTCAGATTCTCAACAAATGGGGCTTGGATGAGAAATTTCAATCTGGCAGAGCTATGATATACTGTGTAAAAATCTCTGCACATAGAATTGAAGACCTAAAATATGCACGTCAAAAATCTTCAAACACCCAAAATCCATATTTCAGTGTCCAAATAATTACTGATAGCTCCTTTTTTTCCCCTCAGTTAATTATTATGTGGATTGCCCTGAAGAATGTGGAAAGAAAAGTAAATAATATTTATGATTGCCTTCTATCTTTTAGGCTGTATTAGGCATATCACCCTACAAGCACCCTGAATAGTGATTAGATTGTTTATTTATCTAGCATAATTGACTTCTCTACTTATCTGAATTTACTATTAAACCACATGTTTCCTTGGGCTAAGAATCAAAGCTTGTATAATACTGACATTTGGGAACACGGGTGCAACAGCCATATTTTCTAGTTTAAGTTCCAACTTTCGTTCTATAAATAGGTGTATAAACTTCGACAGATAATTTAACCAATCTGGGCTTAACTTCTTAGTTCAAAACTAGAAAATGTAATAGAAATCATGATGAGGATTAAGAGTTAATAGATTTAAGCTGCTTGTCTTATTTTGCATCAATAAATGTTATTATTGACATATCTCCCATATATAATTGGAAATCAATAAGTATTTGATGTTGGAATGGTTGGATATTGTTATGGTCTAATGTGGATTGCTTAAGGAAGTGTTTTTGAAGGCTATGTGAAGCAGATAAAGAAATGCTTAATGTAGTGTGGCTGTACTGAAGTTGTATTGGTTGTACTAGTGTGCTTGTGTTGAAGGTGGGAGGCAAGTTCAAAGGAAAACAGGAATTCAGGTGCTAAAAAAGTGTGTGCAGTGAAACTGTTCCATATATGATATTAATGAGTGATAAGGGTTGCTTAGTGTTCAAGTGGTCTATTCAAAGGTCCATGGAAATATTGTGAGACTTTTGAATTTATAACTAGAAACTCAAATATTGTTTTAAACAACATTATTTCTGGGCCAGGC